AAAAGTTAGCTTAAAACGGATCCTAGAACTAAATGCGAAACTTAATACCATGAAGCTTATGGAAGAGAACAGAAAAAAACTTCTTTGTGATCACGGGTTAGACAAGAAGCCATGGGGTGAGACACGGCCGCTCTGGTCCCGAGAGGGACCCCGAGAGGGACCCCAGTCCCTGGGGTCTGGTGGGCTTCATCAGCCCAGTGGATGTCGTGAAGGATGAACCAGGAAACTGGGGTGTGGCTGCAGACCATGTCCAGCAAAGGCCTCGAGTCCTGAGTGGGAGAGTTCCATGGAGCTTTGTGGAGTCTGAGGACACAAACATCCCAGTAAAAAGGGGACCAGTGACTTGAATGCATGCTCCATCGGGTTCGGTGTCTGGATGGCAAATTAGCACAGCCTCAGGGGCATTAGGAGGGTATGGCGTGCCCAGTGAGACAGGTGTGTGTCTACCTCTTAGCAGTCTGAAATGAAAAAGGCCGTGGTACCCAGTGTTTGTGGGATGTGGCCGGCCGGAGCGGAGCCCAGGGTCGGCGGGAGCAGAAAGAACCTTGGGACAGCAGAGCCGTTTTCTAGGAGCTCCTGCTTTGCACCTGCCATACCCACCCCCCCCCCATGTGCTCCGTCTGTACAGAGACCACATGCCCTGGGCTGCCTGTGGGCCCATCAGCAGGCGCGTGGAAAAGCACGTGTGGTTGACAGAGCGCAGGACACCAGAGAGGAGGAGGGCAGGCGTTGGGACCCCATTGGCGCAGCACCTAGGAAATGCCGGCTGCTTCTTGTGACGGAAAGTGAACCAGCGGTTGCCTGTGTTGGGGATGGGGGGCGGCCCGGGCGCAAGGAAGCTTGCAGGGGCGGCCAGCTCAGAACCAGGAGTGGTGTGTGGCTCAGACGTGCACACGTGGGTGAGTTTCTCCAACTGTGTATACACGTGTGTAGCTTGCTGCATACTTTAGTGAAACTACAGAAGTCCCATAACCAAGGGGAGATGCCTGTGGGCAGCCAGATGCACGCTCTGGAGCTTGGGGGCAATTAGGGGTCTGGGGGTGGCCCACAGAGCAGCGATCTCAGCACCCCCACACTGGAGATGAAGGGTGTGCCTGTCATGGCAGCATGTTTGTGTCCCCCACATTCAACATAGCAGAATTGGGGGACCTTTGGGAGGCGATCAGGTTAGAGAAGGTCATGGGGGTGAGGCCCCTGTGATGGGACCAGTGGCCTTGTCAGAAGTGACAGCAGAGCTTGCGGAAGAAGGTGGCTCCCTGGCAGCAGCAGGCTCTTGGGGCTCCGACACCGGCCTCCAGAGCTGTGGTGTCTGCCGGACCAGCCCCATGTGTGGTGCTGACGGCAGCCCGTGTCCACGGAGACGATGCCGATGAGCAGAAGGGGACAGCGGTGCTGGGAGTGGTCACTGGCCTTCCTTGCCCCACCCTCACCAGTCCCAGCTCACTGCCTGCTGGGCCCCCTTCCCCCATACACCCCACAGAGCATCAAATTAAAACAAGATTCATTCACAGTCTAAAGGGCTCTGGAACTGTAGTCGGGCAGATTTCTGAGAGGCTGTTGAACCCTCAGGCCCCATCCTGCTGGCCTGCCTGCCTCCTGACCTCTGGGCTCCCCCAGGCTGCAGGGTGGGTCTGCAGTGCCGGAAACAGTGCTTGGAACAGGGCCCGTGTGCCCAGCCTCAGCCCCGCTCTGGCTCATTTCTTCGCAAGTTTCCAAAGAGAGAACTCCACGAGGGGGTGTCTCCTGTCCCCGTGGCCGCTGTCCCCACGGAGAGATGCCAGGCTTCCAAGGGGAGCAGGAGACTGCAGGTGGGTCTCTCCTCACTGGCCCGTCTGCACGTTAGCAGAGCAGTAGAAGCACTCGGGACTCGGTGTGCCTGTGTGCGAGCCCCTCTGTGTCTCGGAGTTTGTTTTGTAAACAGATGCCTGGAAAAAACATTTAAAAGTGAGAACACTTAGTTGTCCCCAAGTTAACACAGCTGTTAATAAATAAAACTGGCTGTTTTCCCCTTTTCGGGAAAAGCTCTGAGTCCCACCGCACGTGCACAGATTCGTGGAACCACCCAGCCTGGCTCATTCTGTGTAAAATGGTGACAAGTGTCTGGATGTGTGCTTCAGGGCTCTGCATGCCCCTCGTCCCCGGGAAAATGCAAGTTATGAGACGGTCAGACAAGGCCATGGATGCTTCCCACAAAGAGGAAGCCCAGTGATGTTCATGGTGGACACTGCGTTCCCAAGAACTGCTAACAGCCGTCCACGTGGGGTGGACATGTGTGGGCTGGAGTGAGGGGCCTCAGAGCCAGGGGGGCTCCAGGCAAACACCGGTGACGCCGTCCTCCCCGAGCGGCACAGAAGCCAGCCCGGGCGGCGGAGGGAGCTGCCGAGGAGAGCGGGTGTCTGCTCTGTGGCCTGTGGCAGGAGGCGGGCCTGTCCTCACGGGGCCGTGGAAACCCCGTCCAGGTACAGTCGATGCTCGGACAGCATGGGGTTTCAGGAGCTGATTCTGCAGGAAAATCCACACATGACTTTTTCCTCCCCAAACACTTAACTGCTAATAGCCGTGTGTGGGCCAGAAGCCTCATCCATAGCATAACGGCAATAACGCATGTATTCTGGTCTGTTCCTCCAGTAAAGTACGCCAGAGAAAAGAAAACGTTACTAAGAAAATCATAAGGAAAATGGCGTTTATAGCACTGTCTTGTATTGATTTTTAAAAATTCCCGTGTACATAGACCCGCGCAGTTCACACCTGTGTTGTGCGATACAGCGGTGCTCTGAGAACTTGTGGAAACGCTTCCTGGCCACGGGGGGGGGGGGTGGGACCTGGTTCCCCCGGGGCCCCAGGCTGCGGCGTAATTCCCACCCGCTTCCAGGCCGCACAACAAGAGAGAGACTGTCCGAGATTCTGGATTCTGGATCCAGCCTGGGACTGAGGATCTGGCCTGTTCTCGTGGGCGTCGTGTGCTCATGCCGTGCCTTTGACCTGCCACTGGCCAGAGTCCAGATTTTATCCTTTAGAAGTGCCTGCGTGTCCTGGGCCTGCCAGCCGGGCGCAGTGACACGTGACGCCTTCCGGCCACCGTTTGTTTTCATCAGGAGGACGGAGCTCCCTCTCCACCCTCTGGGTCTCAAGGTGCCGGCACAGCCCACGCAGCAGGCCTGGCTCCCACGGACAGCACGAGCCTGCTTGGCCGGGGCGGGGGGGGGGGGCAGCGACTGCTGCGGGCACAGCCACTGCCCAGTTTATCATTTTCTGCAACAACAACAAACAGCTGGGATTGTGTTAGGAATTATGTTTATTTTGTAGATTAATTGGAAAATATTGACATCTTAATATTTACTCTTTTGGCCCATGAAAATGGGATGTCCTTCCATTTATTTAGGTCTTTAATTTGTTTGGAAGATGTTTCATGGGGCCCCTGGGTGGCTCAGTGGGTTAAGTCTCTGCCTTCAGCTCGGGTCATGGTCTCAGGGTCCTGGGATCGAGCCCCACCTCGGGCTCTCTGCTCAGCAGGGAGCCCACTTCCTCCTCTCTCTCTGCCTCTCTGCCTACTTGTGACCTCTGTCTGTCAAATAAATAATCTTTTTTAAAAAGATGTTTCATGATTTTCAGTGTAAAGTCTTGCACAAGTCTTGTTTTGTTCATTTCTGAGTGTCTTTTTCATGCTGTTGTGAATCAGAATGTTTTCTTAATCTTGTTTTTGGATTGTTCATTACGAGTGTATAGAAATACAGTTGAGTTTTGTGAGTCTCATGTCCAGGACCTTTGCTGAACTCACTTGTCAGGTCAAGGGTGTGCGTGTGTGTTCATACGCCTTTGGGTTTTACACTTACAGGATTGTGTCGTCTGCAAATTGACGCCATTTCATTCTTTCATTCCCAAAGTATTAGAAAATGTCTTTTATTTTTCTCATTTCCTAAGTGTTTTGCCTAGAACTTGTAGCACAGTGTCCGTGAGATGTGGTGAGAGCATGTATTGTCTTATCCCTGACCTTTGGGGAAGAGCGTTTAGTGTTTCAGCATTTTCGTACGGCATCAGCGCTGGGGCTTTGCAGATGCCCTTTAACAGGTCACGAGGGGCCCGTCTAGTCCTAGCTGGACGAGTTCTGTCATGAAAAGGCACTGAGTTTTGTCAAAAGCTTTTTCTGCATCTGTCGAGATGGTCATGTGGTTTCATCCTTTATCTACAAATACGGCGTGTCACATCGCCTGTGTCTTTGTGTGTCGAACCAACCTTGCCGTCCTGGGGTAAACTCCACGTGGTCGTGCTGTAGAACCCTTTTTCTGCAACAGCGGACTCCGTTCACTCGTTCTTTGTTGAGGATTTTTGCAGCTGTATCCCTAGGGCTCCTGCTGCAGTTCTGTGGTATTTCTGACGGGCTTTGCATCCGGGCAGAGCTGGTCACACAGAATGAGTCAGGAAGTGCTCCCTGCCGCCGCCTGCGTTTGTGGAAGACTGTGACAGGGGGTGTCAATTCGTGCAGCATGGGACAGAGCTCGCTGACCCTCCGGACCTTTGCGTTTCTTTGTGGGACGTCGTGGGCTTAGTGTTTCTGTTTTAAGTGCTCTCCCAGCCTCTTGTGGGTCTGGTCATACCTTCTGCTGCTGTTTTAGTCAGTTTTCGATGTACGTGTCTTTGGAGGATCCCATCCGTTTCATCTGAACATGGCAGTTCTTTCTTGCCACAACTAAAAGCAACACGTTTACTTCTGTCTTCATGTGAAACTTTACCGTCCGTCAAAAGCAGGGGGGCCTCCTCCTCGAACACAGTCAGCGAGCGAGCGCTCACCCAGGGTCAGGATCAGGACCCAGGTGGAGCCACTGATTCTTCTGGCCCCTCTTCTGCCATCCCCCATATGGTGGGTCTGGCCGTAAAGTCCCTTGAACGTCTGTTCCTACGGAGAAGAGCAAATTCTTTTGTCACTTTCTGAATTACATTTTGTGGAAAATAAATTGTATGTTGTTTGTGACGAGCTGTTACTTTCTGGTATTTGCTTTTAGGTTTTTACCTCCAATGGCCCGACTGTGATTATGCCCACCTGGTTCTGCTCTCGAGCATGGTTTTCCCACGTGGGCCCATTTGATGAAGGCGGGCAGGTAAGTGTGGGCCCTCGTGGATCCCCTCCTCTGGGGTCAGGGGAGGTGCCGTCATCCCCTGGGTGTCAGCCCCCCAGCCCTACCCACTTGTGGGTACTGTGCTCCCTGCAGGGACCCGGGGCTTCAGAAACATCTTCTGTAAAGGCTGGTCCAGCCCTCCTGCCGCTGGCTGGGCCCAGCTTCCCCGAGCGCGTCTGGGGCCCTGGCACCCACTGGGGATTTCTGTGTGAGGGCTGCAGGCACCCAGGCCCCAGGGCTCCTCATCCTGGTGTAAAGCTGCCAGCCATGCTGCCTCGGGTGACTACAGGAGAGGGACAGGTGGCCCTGGGCATTCTGTCCAGACTAGGCTAGGCTCTTCCCTAAAGCTTCTCCTACCTGTGGGGCCCCACCTGCAGCGCTCAGCCCACACTGAGCTCTAGCGTGTGCCCCAGAAATGAGACCCGACCTCTTGCCGGGGCTCCCTCAGCCCCACCCCACACCCCACAGTCTTACAGTTAATGCTCCTACACCCAATTAAAAAGTTAAGTTTAGGGTCCATTTGTTTATTTTCCCTTAAACTTCCCTTAAATGAGGCTTTGAGAACGTGAGGTCTGGTCTCCACAGTGGGAGGAGGTAGAGTGGGCGTGTGAAGGGCTCATCAGGCCTTTGCTATTGAACTGGGATGAGGCCCCATATCCACCACCCCCACCAGCTGCTGGGCTGGGGGCAGGAGGGAGCCTGGACGCACAAAGGCAGCAGAGGGTCTGGGCCACAGGGTTCTGGAGACCCCGGCTGGGAGGCAGGGGCAGCGACTCAGGCGTTGGAACCTTGGCCACTGTCATGTTGTGAGCCCCTTCTGCTCTGAGCCTGCTTCCCTCCTGTCGACATCACGGCCGGCCCTGTGGACCCTCAGCTCAGGGCCAAGTCCATCCCCATCCTGTCCTCACCCAGCCTCCCTTCTTGCCTGTCATTTTGGAGGGAGAGGCCTCCACTGCCCCCCCATGCTGGACCGAGTCCCTCACAGCTGCCCAGACTCAGCCTCCAGGAGGAGAGCCGTTCTCACACATCTACCAGACAGCGCCCCCGGGGGACCAGCCAGCAGCGTCTGCAGTAGGACGGGAATCGGGCCTGCCCCAGGCCGGTCTCCCTGCCGCGCAGGCTGCCACCAACAGCACCTCACGTTCCCAGGGTTGGCCTGAGCAGGGAGCACATGTGCCACCATCCCACCGTGCTCCTCCTGGCCCTGGCCTGGCCGCCCCTCGCAGGCACGTGGGTCCGTACTGACTAGCCTTCCCGTCTCACCCCCTGCTGGGATGGGCGACCAGGTCTCGTTGTCCCGGATGTGTGCTGACTCATGGTCTTAGGGTGTTGAGCACAATCCCTGTGCTCCTGTTTCTCCCCCAAATCCACACAATGGAGAGAACTTGTAAGCATGTGGCACGACCCTGCCCCAGGGCCCCCAGTCCCAGGGGCCTCAGCTCCACCAGGGGCAGCAGATGGCACAGCTACGATCTCCCTGATGGTGCAACAGCAGCCTGGTGGAGGGAAGCCCGAGCAGGTCCCCCCTCTTCTGGCAGGTGCTATGGAAGCCACTGTTCTTGTTGGACCATGAGTCCATGCTTTTATGTTCTTCTGTAGAAAATAGCCCAGAAACTGTCATCAGGAGACGTTCCCTGGGAAACCTTGATCTAAAGGTCTGACACACCCTAACTCGCAGCCCTGAGCAGTCTCAGAATTCAAAGTACGTCAGGACTTTCAGCTCAAAATAATTCTTCCTGGAGAAGAAGCCCCTGGGGGCAAAGAAAGCCCATGCATCCCTTTGTATGGGGGCTCAGCGACCAGAGATCAGGGATCAGGGACCAGAGATCAGAGACAAGGGACCAGGAACCAGCAATCAGTTACAGAACTATGGATCAGAGACCAGAGATCGTATTTCAGGCACTAGGGGTCAGAAGTCAGAGACCAGGTATCAGAGATTGGGGATCAGGAAGAAGGGGTCAGGGGCCAGGACTAGATCTGTGATGGGGCTGGGGCAAGTGGGGGGTCTGGGGTGTAAGGAGGCAGATCACAGATGGCAGCAGAGCCCACCACCAAGAGAAGGACATCAAGTGTTTCCACCGTTCTTTGATGCCATCCCCAGAGAAACCGGTCGAGCCGAATTGTTCGGAGAACCGGACGTTGGGGACTGACCTTCAGGTGATTCTCCTTGGGCCAGTGAAGAGCCAGGGTCTGCCCAGGGCTAAGAGCCCAGGGTCCCTCCTCTGTGGAGAGAAGGGCAAGTGATGGAAGCAGCAGGAAGCAGTCCAGGTGCTGAATGACGGAGCAGGGGACCAGGGTGCGGACCCGTGACTGCGAGTGTGCGGGGGCCGGGGCACGGAGGCAGTGGTGAGCTGGAATGGGCCGGGTGGACGGCTTTTTAATCAGGAAAGGCACTAGCAGAGGCGGCTGGAGGGGGCCGGGAGTCTGAGGTTCGGAGGTGGGTACAGGCATGGCCCGGGACCACGTCCAGCCGTGGTAAGCAGCCTCTGCGCCAGGCTCAGGAATCTGAATGCCCCCAGGAGGCCCTTACGCGAAGAGAAAAGTACCAGAAGGGCTCTTGTTGGTTCTGAGCCGGCCCTGGGAGAGCAGGCTGGCCTGGGTGGGAAGGCCTGGAGAAGGCTCGTCACTGCCCCAGGGGGACTGGAGGGCCGGGGAGGCCACGCGGCGGACGCTTTTCCAATGTGCTTTTTATGTCCGAGGGGAAGAGCCGAGGGGAGGCCGCCCGCCCTCCCCTCCCCGCGCAGACCCAGAGGCCCTGCAGTGGCCGAGACTTCCCGTGTTCGTTTGCGTTTCCCAGATGACTGAGGTGCTGAAGGATTGGCCGTTTATTTTACGACGTGTCCAGATCCGTTACCCACTTCCCGGTGGCCGGTGTTGGCGCTGTCGGGGGGGTCGGTGTTCTCTGTCCGGTACCGGCTCGGGGAGGTTCCTCCCGTTGCGGCCTCTGTGTTCTGGGATCTCCTCCCTTCCGCTTGCCTGCCCCTCCCGAGTTCTGTCCTCTGGACTTCGGGACAGTGAGGCCGCGGCTTCCATCCTGGGTTTGTCTGCTTTGTCCCCGCCCTGTGGTGCCACTCGGGACGCCAGCCTGTGCCTGTAGCCGCGTCTCCTGGCGACGTCATCGACGAGGCCCCTGCACTGCCGCTCCGCTTGCGGTCACACCCCTAGTGCCGCAATGTGGACAGCGGGGAGGTGGGCGAGAGCCAGACCCCTCCGCACCTCGATGTCCGCTGTGGGATCGAGGAGAGCCCAGGGAGCAGACCTGGCATCTGGCGTCCAGCTTCTGTGGTCGAGGCTGAGCACAGCTGCCCGCCAGGCTAGTGGGAGGCTGGAGGCTGAGGTCTCACGAGCCAGGGAACCCCCCAAGAAAGCTCTCAGGCCTGCAGAGAGAGACCCCGTCAGTGGGGAGGGCTGGTCCTCGGGCTGCCGGCCATACGCAATGGTGACACCAGTGCCTCCCGCCTTGACGTGAGCCCCATGTTCCGGCGGCCGGGCCGCAAGGAATGCACATGCGGGAAGCGTCGGCCACCGGTGGATCTTCTGTCAAAAACCCCAGTGATGGATGACGCGTCTTTTGTGCCCTGCAGGGTGTGCCCGAGGACCTGCTGTTCTTCTACGACCACCTCAGGAAGGGCGGCGGGGTCGTCCGCGTAGACCAGAGCCTCCTCCTCTACCGCTACCTCCCAGACGCCGCCACTCACTCTGTCCTCGAGTATGTGGGCCCCGGGGCTCCAGACGTGGTGTGGGGGCCGCTGAGGGCGTGGGCTGCCAACCCTGGTCCCCGGGGTCAGGTCTCTCGCACGAGGCAGGAAATCTGGGCGCAGGGCCGGGCCAGGCGTGCAGAGCCTGTGGCCTTCGTGGGGGGCAGAGGCTGTCTAATGGGCCTGTGGACGAGGGCTCCCAGGACAGAGGCTGCAGGTCTGTGTGCTTTTCTGTGGCGAGAGAACCCACACGTAGGTGTTCCTTGGAAGTCTTGATCTCTGCGCTGGGAGGGGACGGGAGCCCCAAAGTGTGCCAGGCACGCGTCTGACTTGCTTACTGCTGGTTCAGTGTGCCCTCTCTGCCCCCACTGAGGGGGCCTGTGTGCACTTGGGGCGCGCTGCTAGGGCGGCGGGTGTGCAACACAGAGGAAGGGTATCGTGTCTTCAGTTTGAACTGTGTGTGTGTGTCACATGTTTGTCACCATGAGAAACGTGTCCCCTTGGTGCCTTGCTGTTGTGACACTGCTTGCTTTGGGGGACGGGTGCACATTCATCTTTCAGAGGTGGGGTTGCCTGTGCTTCCTTGGAGGGCGTGACCCCTGGCTTCCCCGTGGGGCAGCTCCATTTGGGGGGGCTCTGGCGTCCACCTCCACTGTTGCGTGCGGTGCCATCTCAGGGTCCCGGGTTGCTTCAGGAGGTCCTTGGCATTTGCACGTGTGTTGAAACTCAGTTTCTTTGTCTTCAGCTGAAGAACTTGATTTTGGTTATTTACCGTTAAGTCTGCACTTCTCCACGGTAGCTTTACGGGACGTCCGTTCTTTGGGTTTGCTGTCACACCGCTGACTCCGTGCAGGTGTGATCTGCGCCACGGGGTAGAGGTCACGTCACAGGAGGACAGAGCAGTCCCTGATGTGTGCTGTGTGTCTCATCAGTCTCCAAGCCCATGAACACAACCAGACAGAAGTAGGCAAATTACAGATTACCTCCACAGTTGCAGTTGGAGGTTTTTGGGTCCATCTCAGTGACTGAGAGAAGCAGGGAGTCCTGCAAGGTGCAGAGGACTGGAATTAGCCCCTCAGCCCGACCGGCATTTATAGAATGTGACACTCAGCTGTAGAACACGTTCCTTTAAGGTGCAAGACCGACAGCTCTGGATCCATTTCAAATGATTAAAATCACACAAGGTGTGTTTTATAACCACATAGAATTAAATTAGATGTCATTCACACATCTTAAAAAATCCGAAATATTTGGAAATTAAGCAACCATGGGAAAAATCAGAAAGGAAATAAAAAAAATTCAATATGATGAAATTAAAATGGTATGTCAGAATTTGTGGAATTCACTAAAGCACACAATCTATACACTTGCAACGAACAACTGAAAAAAAAAAAACACAATAAAAAAACATGTATTATGGGGGCGCCTGGGTGGCTCAGTGGTTTAAGCCTCTGCTTTCAGCTCAGCTCATGATCCCAGGGTCCTGGGATCGAGCCCCACATCGGGCTCTCTGCTCAGTGGGGAGCCTGCTTCCCTTTCTCTTTCTGCCTCTCTGCCTGCTTGTGATCTCTGTCAAATAAATAAAATCTTAAAAAAAAAAAAGAAACACGTATTATGGCACCAAAAAAAAAAATACTTGTGGGTAAACATGAGAAAGTGTGTATGTCCTCTGGAAAGTACAAGCAAGTGCAGAAGGAAATTAAAGAAAACCCATAACAGGGACAGAGGGACATCCCTTTCATGGGTTGGAAGATTTGGTGACTTTGATGTTAGTTCTGCCCAGACCGAGCTGTGGATTGAACTTCTTTGCAGAAATTGATACCTGATTCTAAAATTCACATGCAAAATTAAAGGACCCAGAATGGCCTCAACAGCCTCGAAAAGAATAAACTTTGGGGACTCACAGGGCCCAGGAAACCGCAACAGCATCAGGAGAGACCATGGAATGGAGAATCCAGAAATACGTTGAAAATTATACAATAGATTGATTTTCAACAATGTCTCCCAAGGCATTTAATGGAAAAAGAAGATATTTTCAACAAGCAGAACCACCGGATATTCACATGGGAAAAGAAGAAGGAAAGAGCAAGAGTCTCGTGCCGTATAGAAAACACTGCTCTGGTGGGATCTCGGATATAAACCTAGAAACCTAGAAACAGCTGGAATCGGAAGTTTCTGGAGGGACGCGGGCAGCACCTTCACAATTTCAGGATCAGCAAAAACTTACAGCGAGGACATGAGAATCATTAACCATTTACAAAGTCATGAAGCTTTACCAGAATTAAAAACATTGGTTCCTAAAACGACACCATTGGAACATGAGTGGCAGATGAGCGGGAACATTCACGGTCTGTGTCTGAGGGAGAAGCGAGCGCGAGGCGTGTGAGGAACCCCAGCAGCAAAGACGTCACATACCTACCAGGTATGGATACCTACCAGGAGGGCTAAAATTAACATGTGCCGATTCCAGATGGTGGCAAGGGTGTGGATCTCGCAGAAAGGCCGCACACCGTTCTCAGGAGTGTCAGTGGGACATCCTGTCTGGAAAACGCACTTTTTTTATTAATGAAATTCATATCCCTGTGACCTAGCAGTTCCATGTCTAGGTGCTTAACGTAAAAGAAATGGAAACCTTGCTCAACCGCTGTTAGCCTTGCCAAGAACCGGCAACCACCCAGATGTCCATCAGGAAGCGCATGGAGGTCATGGTGGACGGTGCTCAGCGTTGAGGGAGAGGAAGCCGACTGCTGCTGCAGCAACAGGGATTCGCGTCACAGCAAATGCTTACTGCGGAAGGCACGGGGTGTGCGTACTGTGGGATTCCGCTTACAGGAAGCCCTCCGAAGTCCGGCCTAGTCTCTGCTGTTCCTAAGCACAGCCAGTCCATAGAGGAATTCCAGCTGGTGTACCTAGTGGAACTTAGAACGAGTGCTTGGTGATAGTAATTAGAACTAGGTAGAAATTAGACCCGTGAGATGTGGGACCACGGGGATCTCCTGTGGGGCATGAGGCGTGGGACCTCGGGGATCTCCTCTGTCACCATCACGAATGTTCCTGTCTGTGTGTTCTCACGGTAGGTTCCCTGAAGACCGATCCCTCAGGGATCCCTGAGGGGATCTCACTGTAGGACTTGGAGGGGGCCTCTGCTGTGGCAGGAGCCTGTGTGTCCCAGAAGCACCAGGCCACTGGCAACTGGGCTTTGTCCCCACAAGTCGTCATCTTGTTTGCAGGAGATCAACCTCTTTTCTGTTGAGAGTTTGCTTGCTTTTTCTGCAGCGCGAGGCTTTGCCACCCACAACACGAAAGAGGTGATCTCATGTAGTTTCTGTTTTGGATTAAAATCTTTGCGCCGTAAGTGGCAAAACCTCACGGGGTAATAACGAGCTTTAATTACAGCCTCAGGCTTGTTGAGAATCAGGTTTCTTCCATCTCGCTGCCCAGAAGGCCTCCGGTGAAAGCGCTCCCGCTGGTTTGTTCTTCCGTTTTAAACCGAGCTCGGTCAGCACGTCCATCGCTCCTTCTGACAGACAGGGGCATCCCGACCCTGAGGCCTGACCCTCCCGTGCCCGCCGCCTCTCCCAGCCCCACTGCCGAGGCCCCGCGGTCCATGGCATTCGTTGCCACACCCGGTTCCCGAGACGTCGCCGTGTGTCTGGGCTCCCCGAACAACATGCACCACCTGTTTAAAGGCTTGTGTCCGTGGTGGCGTCCTGCCTCTGTCCCGGAAAACCACTGCTCTGTGCGGCCTCTCGGCTGCCCTCCCCGCGTGACCGCAGGTGCCACCTGCTCCCGTGGCCTCTGGGCCGTCCTGCCTGGGGCGGAGTCCCCCCTCCCCGGGGCCGGCACCGTCCCCTCCTTACTCCACCGCCAGGTGCTAGGGTGCAGGGGTGCATTTGGAGAGGCTGGTCTGTGGGTTTGGGGAAGCCGCTCTGCTCGCCACAGCCCCTGCGGGGGGACATGGCGGCCCCACGACGAGTAAGGACGGATAGAAGGAGCGATGGACGTGCTGACCGAGCTCGGTTTAAAACGGAAGAACAAACCAGCGGGAGCGCTTTCACCGGAGGCCTTCTGGGCAGCGAGATGGAAGAAACCTGATTCTCAACAAGCCTGAGGCTGTAATTAAAGCTCGTTATTACCCCTCACGGCGCAAAGATTTTAATCCAATACAGAAACCACATGAGCTGGTAAGACGGAGGATTCTTCCCGGGCAAGTAAGAACCGACCAGCACCGGGAAAGACGGCACCCCCGGGCGGGAGGGGCTCCGTGGCCGTCCCTCTGCTGCGTAGCGCACGGTCACCGGCGTCTCCGGACCGGGCCCTGCACCGCACTCTGGGGAGCAGGGACTGTTGGACGGGACGGGACGCTGTGCTGACAGAACTTGGACGGGGGGCGGGGGGAGCCGCTGCCAGAGCCGCATGTGGCCCCGCATCCCCCTCGGCTGCTGGGGACCCCGGGCCGGATCCCACACAGCGCTCGCTGACACCAGCCGTCCCGGAAGGGCGGAAGCGTTAGAAGTGACTTCACCCGCAGCTCCCGTCCCTTCCTCAGCCTCAGGCCTCCTCATGGAGCAGGACTCGCACATGGTCACTGGTCCTTTGTCCTTCAACTCCTTCCACGTCCTGGATGTGGCCGTGCAGGTGGTGAGCGGCGTGGGCCGGACGGTCCGGAGCTTGTGCGGGGCTCGGGGCTCGGGAAGCGCTACGGGGCTGGGACCGGGGAGCCGCTCGCCCGCCAGCCCCAGCGCGGCCTCGGCACCGCCATCGGAACGCCTTCCGGCCCCTTGCCCGGGGCCACCGCGTCCGGGACCCCGGGTGCCCCGCCAGGCCCCAGCCCCTCCCCGCCCCCGGAGGAACGGTTCCCTGAGGTGCCTGGGAACGGGCACAGGTCACTGGGTTCGGTGCCCCCGGGCGTGGCCGCGGCCGCGCAATGGCGGCCGCCCTGCGTGCTGAGGTGTGTCTGGGAGACACGTCGGGGTCGGGTTTGGGCCGCTGCCCCCGGAGAAGTTCCACCTTCCTCCAGCTTGTTGTAAAGATCCGTTTCTCCGAGTCAGAGCACAAGCGGGCAGGGGGAGAGGGAAGACAAGGCCTGAGGCAGAGTCCCCGCAGGCCCCACAGGGGGATCCATCGCGAGACCCTGAGATCGTGACCGGAGCGGAAACCAAGTCGGACCCTCAACTGACCCAGGTGCCCCGACCCTCCAGATTCTTAAGGGATGCTTTCCTGCCTGCGACCCAGGCCCTTCGGACCACGCTGAACAGAACAGCGGAGCGCACCGGCCTCTGTGGGGCGCAGAGGCACACCGCAGGGGCCGGGCCTCCACGTCGCTCAGAGCAAGGGGCCCACGGGAGGGTCCCGCCGGAGAGGACCAGCCGGCGGTCCGGCCAGCTTCGGCATGAGGCGGCTCACCCGAGCTCAGTGGACGCGGGGCGGCTGCCTCCCCATCGGGCTCCCCGCGGTCTGTGCCTGGCGTCCCTCGAGGCCTGAGTCCGTGGGCGTGAAAAGGGCACATCCTCGGGTCCACGTGGGGCTGGGGGGGGGCAGCGCGACCCTGCTTGATTCGTTCACTCATTTACTCACCGGCCGGCGCCTCGTGAGCTCTGGAGACAAGGGGCCCCGCAGGGCTGGGTGGGGAGGGAGGTCTGGGAGCCGCTCGGGGCCCCGCGCCTCTGCTTCACTCGCCCCGTTTCCCTGCCAGGACCACCATCTGGACCCACCGTGTCCGCTTCCTGGAAGAACGGGTCCTGCCGCGCTGGGCAGCTTTCACCATCTGGAACGCGGGCAGGCAGGGCCGCCGGCTCTACCGCAGCCTGACGGCTGAGGCACGACGCAAGGTGGGCCACCAACCCCCCGCCCCGACCTCCTCCATCCCACCCAGCAGCTCCGTACCCCCACCCCCGTCTCCCATCCCTGAGGCTGGTGTCCTGTGTGCCCCCGCCAGGTGGTCGCCTTCTGTGACGTGGACGAGAACAAGATCAGGAAAGGCTTCTACTGCCACGAAGACTCTCAGGTGTGTGGGCCCAGCACCCCAGGAAGGGCCTCATCCCACATGGGCTGTCCACACCACCCCAGCTCTGACCCGGGGTATGTGGAGCAGCCATTGCCCAGAGCCTTCCTCCTTGGGGAAGGCCACCAGGCCCAGCAGCGGTGGCCCCATTTGCTGGGGATCTCGGAACCCAGAACGGCCCGTGTCCCCGCCTGGCCCAGGTCTGTCTGCTGTGTACCTCGGAGCTGGGTAGGGGTGAGGGGGTCAGTCCAGGTGCCCTGTCAGCGTGCAGGTCCAGCATGGTAGGGCGTCCTGTGGGACTAGCATGGACCCCAGCCCACAAGACCTCTTGTTCTCAGGAAAGGCCTAAGCCTCGTGTTCCAATCCTGCATTTCCGAGCTGCCCGGCCCCCCTTCGTCATCTGTGTGAAGCTGGTAAGTGTCGACCACTGCCCCAGTGGGGTCAGGCGATGACTGTGTAGCTGCTCCAGGCCCCCAGTTGTGGGATCACAGACGTCTGACCTGCAGCCAGATGTCCACGTCCTTGGTTTGGGCCACCTGTGTGGAGCTGTGGGCTACGAGGGGAGGTGGCCATCGCCGCTCTGGGGAGGCCACCCAGGGTGCCAGAAGAGGCTGCCACGGTGCCCTCACAAAACGGGCTGCATTTCTGGAAAAGCAGCATTTTGGGAACTTGCTAAGTGCCAGACTCGAGGCCCATTCCAGGGGCTCCTCAGAGGCTCTGGCTGAGACCAGGGTCTGTGGCGGGTAGGAGCGTGGCTGAGAAGCACCTCTGACCGAGCACCGTGGTCCCGTCTCCAGGGCCGTCCTGAGACTTTACCTCCCTTGAGGTCACGGGTGCAGGGGGCGGGCTGCTCTCGGCCCCCCTGGGGACCACGGTCTCCTTGCCCAAGTCAGGCTGGCCCATGTGGCTGGATGACCGCATTCACTCACTCCCAAGTACCATCCCGTCGTCCGTGGGCCCTGGTCATTTCCGGCCTGGCAACAAGGTAGGCGGAGCCGTGACATTGCCGTGATGTCGGAGCAGATGGGAAGGGTCCCCGAAGGTGCCCTCTGTGCACGCACCTTCCTGAGGCCAGACCAGGGCTCAGTCGGGAGGTGCCCTCGATCCTAGCCTTGCTGATGTCTGGCTGTGCACACTCTGGTCCGTCCGTCCTCAGTTGGAGTGGCAAGTATTTTCTCCCACGTGAGACTTGCCTTTTTACAGATTCTTCCAGGAAAAGCTATTTTCTTTTAAACAATTTATTTGAGAGAAAGCGCGTGCACAAGGAGGCAGAGTGGCAGGCAGAGGGAGAAGCAGACTCCCCAGTCCGGCTGGGCGCCCAACGTGGGACCTGGGATCATGACCTGAGTGTGTTCCTGTGCAGCCGTCCCCGGACAGCCTTCTCCGTGCGGCGTGTCCCCATGTGGCCATCCCTGTGCAGCCATCCCCATGGAGAGTGTCCCCACATGGTCGTTCCTGTGCCCCGTGTCCCCGTGCTCTCCCCCATGCAGGGATGGAGCCAAGTGAGGGGCAGGAAGGGATCTGTTGATCTCTCTTCAAGTCCGGGTTCAGGCCCCTGCAGAAAGAAGCCGGAGTGTCCCGGGAGCCCTGGACAAGGCACAGAGGAAAGCCGGTGTGCCCCAGAAACGGGAGAAGGAGACCTGCCAGTGGGGCCATTTCCTGCCCTTAGTCCCCGTGTTAGCTGCCTTCTGCAGCGAGGGACCCAAGTTCGAGCTGGAGGTGTGTAGGCCTCAGAGGACAGCCCCCCCACCTCCTTCCCACTGGTGACCAGCAGGACACCATGGTCAACTTTTCACAACGTCCCCACCCCCCAAGGTCCCCCGCCCCTCTCCGCTTAACAGTTCATCGTGGACCACCTGGCAGGTAGCCACAGGCGACTCTGCCCCGGGCCCCCTTGGGAGGGCCTCCGGGGGTCCCAGTGCAGGCTGAGAGAGGCCTGGACCATGCCAGACATGCTGTCCCTCCCACAGGACCTCACTGGGGGTGCGTTTGAGGACAACCTGAGGTCGCTGTGCCTGCGGGAAGGCCAGGACTTCCTGCACTTCAGCTGACGGGCCCTGGCAGCCACTCCAGGTACGTGGGATTGGGGGCACGAGTGTCAGGTGGCCCACGACCCTGAGGGGGAACAGGCAAGACAGGGCTGGCACCACATGCGCGGCGAACGCTGCTCCGTGGGAGGCTGGCCCTTCCCTGCAGGCATGTGTGTGAACGTGTGCGGAACCAGGACGTGGTCTACACACACCAAGTTGCAGAGCCGAGAGCCCACAGCCCGAGGGACGCGTCCCTGACCGTGTGAGTGGTGGGAGGCTCCCCTGCCCCCGGGGGCACCGCCATCCTCCCATCGGTCGAGCCAGGAGCTCGTTAGCCTGCGCTCCTGACAGACATCCGTGCGGCGAGGACAACAGCTGCTGCGTGCTCTGGTCCCGCTGTGGTGGGTGTCTGAGTGTCTATGTGGGGCAAATCCGGGCACGGTTCCTGGGTCTGACTTGGTCCCACGTGTGGAAATACGGGGCACCGACCGAGAGCAGAGGCCGCGTGCTGTGAGCTCACGAGGCAGGCCTGCGAGGATGTCCCACGAGGATGGCAGAGACTCGAGGGCCTGGAGGGGGCTGCGGGGGCCCAGGGCCGGCCTCGAGGTTGGTCGGGGCCACGGCTGGCTTCGTCTGGCAGGTCCTCGGCTGCAGGAGGCGTGAGTCAGGAAAGCTGGCAGTGAGCGACGGTGTCCTGGCTGCCTCAGGCTGCTGGCTGCAGGGGTCACGGCCTGGTTTCCTAACTGGCCGCTGTGGACTGTGGGCAGGGGTCACGTTTGTGGGGGTGCTGGCAGCTTGCGTCTCCCAGGCCTGGGAACCCCCTGCTCAACACGCCAAGGGCAAACACCCATCAGCCGTGAGTGACTGCGGGTGACCATGGGCTCCCCTTTGCCTGTCCCAGGACCCAAGCAACAAGGCCACGGATATGCTGTGCCCCGGGTGACTCGTGCCAGACGCAGGGGTGGCCCTGCCGGCAGGAGCCCGGGGTGAGGGCTCGCACCAGCAGGGCAAGGCTCCCGAGTGGGCTCGTGATGGGGCGCGTGGGCGTCAGAATGAGAAGCAGGGTCTGCGTGCAAGGCTAAGGCACAGGGGGAGCTGCTCCGAGGCGGGAGAACCAGGCGTCCCGCTCGGCGCTCGGCTCTTCTAGAAACACGTTTGTGTTGACGCTGAACACCCCCGGCCCCTCTTGTCCACTTCCAGAGCCTGTTCATGTCGTGTACCTGCCGCTTGCTCACTGTCCCCAGCACGCGGAGGTGCCCCGCGGGGACAGCCTCCCCGCCCACACTTCCTTCACCAGAGCAAGGGCTCCGAGTGGGGCAAATCCGCTCCCACAAACCCAGCAGCATCTGGAGGTAGTTTGCTCTGCGAGTGGGAAGGGGGTTGCTCCGGCATCTGGGTTGTTGCCAAGGACGGACTCAGCCCAGGGCGCCTGAGCGGTCGGTGAGTGTCCGACTCTTGGCTTCAGCTCTGGCCGTGACCTCTGCGTGGGGAGATTGAGCCCCACGTCGGGCTCTGCTCTGCCTGGAGTCTAACCCCTCCCCCTCCAAAGAACCCCAGAATTCCGCAGCCCCGAGGCTAAACACCTAGCTGTGCATTCGAGCCTTGTGTCACCTGGATGTGATGGTTTCCCCGCGTCCACGGCTCTGCCCAGCGGCCGCCCCCTCCCTTGCTCCGTGCCAGGCCCTGTGGTTGGGGGGTGGGCAGGGTGGTAGCCGCGTGGGTCTGCGGGCTCCGGTATCTGGGGACGAGCCCCCATGAGACCTCTGTACACACTGGGCCGATTCTTTCTGAGGCCTCTTTTCTATTTTTCTGGGTAATTTCTTCAGCTTGTGTCTACTTGGTGGTTTAAATCTGTCCAGGGAGCTTTTTCCTGGATAATTCTCGTCTGGGTAGTTTCTCTTTCAAAAACCAATGTTCTGTGGCTGATATTACCAACATCACAGTTTTGGGGTCTGCTTCTATTAAGTCTGGCTAGTGATTCCCATTCGTCTATTTTGTGACATTTCTGGAACATTAGTTTGGGTTCTTTCCAGCCTCTCCATACAGCTGAGCCCACACTCTTCCGGGGAGATTCTGTCGGCCGCTTCTGCCCGCTGTCTGGGAGCACCACTGGCGGGGTAGGCGGGGCGGGGGGGGGGCACGTGATTGTATGTTCCAGCTCAGCTTTAAGAACTGCCCATCCCTCCAAGGGAACCTCAGGAGACTCCTCTCCCCACCCAGCTGCAGGGGGAGATGGTGACGGGATGCTGTCCCCTCACTGGGGTCATCTCTGCTGCCAGTGCAGGAGCAGCTTCCCAGGGTCCCAGCTGCACATGGGCCTTACATCCTAACCCCCATGCTGCCCCTGAGACGAGAGCTCCCCACGCGCCTCAGCTCCGCACACGCAGGCGCTTGGGATCAGGGGGAGGCTCGGTTCTGTGTCTGGAGCGTGGCCGTGTGTGTCCTGGGGTCTGGCTGGTCTTCCATCTAAAATGGAGACCTCCGGGGCGCCTGGGTGGCTCAGTGGGTTAAGCCGCTGCCTTCGGCTCAGGTCATGATCTCAGGGTCCTGGGATCGAGCCCCGCATCGGGCTCTCTGCTCCGCGGGGCGCCTGCTTCCCCCTCTCTCTCTGCCTGCCTCTCTGCCTGCTTGTGATCTCTGTCAAATGGGTAAATAAAACCTTTAAAAAAAAAAGAATGAAATGAAATGGAGACCTCCCTCCTCGTTTCTGGGAGGGAAGCATGTTTTAAGGCTTGAATCCACAAAGTAACACCAGACTTTCTCCTGCAGGGGGTGTATCAGGTGCAGCCCAGGGAAGGTAAACGATCCCCCAAGTCAGCGAATGAGCCCGGCGGGAAAACTACTCCCCACGACAGAAGCAGCACCCGCGCCTGCCACGACCCACCGGGTCCCTCGGCCCCATCGCCACACACGCCCACGAGGGCAGCTCCTTCGCTGGCCCAGACACAATCCACCCTCGGTTCATGGCCCCGACCACGGCACAGCCCTCGCCTCGGACGCTGAATTCTCGCACCGCCCGCGACACCGACACCGCATCCGAGCCTCGACCCGGGAGACAGCAGACAAGGCGCGGCCATGCGGGCCCTGAGGTGGTGAACTTCCGTGCACGGCAGCCTCACTAGCCTTCAGGTTAGGTCCACTCTGGGCAGCTGGAAAGAGGCTCTTTTTTGGGAAATAAGCGAATCAGCTGTGGAACCTCCCGGGTGTCCCCAGGGCAGCCGGCACCTGGCAAGAAAAGCCGCCCGGCAGGGGTCCACCACAGCCGGTGCCGGTACAGCCACTCCCCACCTCGCCGTCAGGTCCCCACCACGAGCCGCTCCTATGGGGTCTCAGGCAAGATTCTTTGGTTGCACAAAACCGTGAGGGGTCGGGACCCTGTGCGACGCCCACAAGCACTGGGCACGGCAACGGGCAGGGGGCGCGGGGGACAGAGGAAGGGAGGCAGCGCCGGGGCTTCCCCTGGCCCACCTGCGCCTGGTCGCCCGCCCCCATCGGTGTCAGACAGAGACATGGGACTGCTCAGGACATGGTTTTTATAGATGGGCTTCCCACGGACGTGAAGACAAAAGCACCGACACCCCAGGACCCGCGTGAGGAAAAGCCAGCGTCGTGGTGATGAACCCCAGGTCCCTCGGCGCCGCGACCGGTGTTGCGTGCGGACGGTCATCGGGCTCCTCCTCCCTGCTGGCCGGGCAGGGGCCCTCAGCGGGGGCCAGGCTGCGGGGGACACAGCACAGGGTCAGGCCGTCAGCGGCGATCCCTCACCCGGGACCCACAGCCGACACGACCGCCGTAGCAGCCAGCAGCCCCCGGGACTCGGCCCCCACCTTCACACACCCGCGCATCAGGGCTTCCGGACGGCCGCGGGCACCGCGCGTTCGCTTGGAGAGCCGCAGCCGCCCGCGGGCCCGACAGGGGCGGGCCCAGCCACCACGCCGGGCGGCTCCGGACGGGAGGCGGGGACACCACCCAGAAGGAACAGCCTGACTGCGGGTCCCCGGAGGAGGAGAGAATGAAAAGCGGACAGGACACGGGGAGGGGAGAGGCCACTGGGAGAACCGGAGGCAGAATAAACCCGCCTGAGTCCGCGCGCAGAGACGCGTGAGGTCAGACCCGAAGCGCAGGGGGCGGGCGGGAGCCTGACGTTAAACGCTCCAAGAACTGAGGTGACTAACGTAGATCCAGACAGACCAGACCTGGTCACCGCCTGTAAGTGTCCCACTTAAACGGAAGGAAACAGGTGAGAGCGACAACCAGCAATCCAGCGTGGCTGCGCTCGACGGAGGGAGCGGACTTGAGGGCACAGCGCCTTCTTACAAAGAGCATCTCTATGGGGCAGTCAGGACATCAGGACGGTGGCCCAGACAGAAGCCCACGGGCAGCCCGGGCCACTGCCTCCAACGCGGAGCAACCCCGAGAAGACGGGCGGGGGCAGCTGCAGCTTCTCGGCCTCTTGGAGAACAGAGCCCGACGCGGAGATGGACAAACGTGGACTCTGCCCGGAGCCCAGCGCCCAGCGGAGCGCACGATGCTGGAGGTGGGTGTGAGCTGGCAGGGGGGCTAGAGTCTGGAGTGCCACCTCAGGGGACCCTCCAGGAGCTCACGGTTCACCTGCCATGAAGCTGGAACCAGGGCTGAGTTCTGCTCGGACAACCGCAGTCGGCCCCACATCCTGCCAGCGCTCCAGCAGGACTCCAGGCTCATGGCCGGGGGTCCTCTGTCCAAGAGCACCTGACCCCCGTGCCCGGAGGGGGACAGTGCAGGGCGCCCCAGGCCGGGCCATGATGAAGCTCTGGAGGCTGAGCAGTGCCCGCGCCCCTGCCAGACGAACACGGACCCCCCATCCCCGGTGCTCATCCCCCGTGGGCACGGAGCTGGACAGCACTCATTTCTGGATGGACGTTCTCGCTCAGGGAACGCTCGAAAGCAGTCGCAGACGAGACGCATGGCCAGGGGGATACGGCCAGCAAGGCAGGACCAGGAACCAGCTCCGGGTCCGGCATCCCAGCACGTGCCGCTGTGTGAGCACCGGTGGGACCCACAGCCCGGGTCCACCCCACTCCCTCGCGAGCGCGTCCAACCACCCTGCAGGACCCGACGGTCAGCTCGGGCCCCTGCCATCTCCGAAATCCACAGCCGCCATGCACACACCGATGCCATGGAAGACGGACACCTCATGGGGCAGCCCCAGATACTCCAGGAGTGACAGAGTCCCCAGACAGGACAAGTGTCCAGGGAGGCAGTGATGGTGGAAACCAGACAGCGGCACCAAGGACCTCGTATGAGAGGCGCGAGCTTGAGGGCTGGCAGCACAGAACGGCCACCCACCAGGCAGACGGCCTGTCCTGATACGTGCCCAGTGGGGACGAGGCACGCAGGAGCCTGCGACGAGGAGCCGGAGAAGCACATGAGGGGCAGGCGGGGGGGAACACGCCAGTCCGTGCTACCCGACCGGCCCAGACTCGAGCTCAGGACGGAGGCTCAGGAGCCGCACTCAGATCTCACATGGGAAGGGCCCCTGGGTCTCACCTTGGGGACCAGCTGAGGTCTGGGCACGCCGAGGAGGTCACACAGGCGGTTCCGCTGGCCTCTAACGAGTGGGAGCTCCGCATCCCTGGGGAAGAGCAGGCAAGAGCAGTTTCAGCGGCGGGGACGGTCGGCTCGCGGGAGGCCTGTCAGGAGCTACGGATGCGGGGTGCGCAGAACCCCAGCATCTTAGCCAGGGAGACCAGGGCAGACGGCACCAGGCAAGCCCCCGCTCCTGGCACCCTTCTGGGGAAACTGGGGAGGCGCGGCCCCAGACTGGCCGGAAATGCTGAGACTCAGGTTTCCAAAGTTTTACTTGACTTTGAAAGCTTTGTATCACTTTCATTAAAAACAGAGATTATCTTTTTTTTTTTTTAGAATCAAAAAACGAATTGTAAATGTCTCTGGAGTTTCCTTCAGCAGAAAGGGCCTGGGCTGTGCGGGGAGAGCCCCGGGTGCCCCACGGGGAGAGGGCGGCAGGCCGCAGCCGCGATCTGCGCCGCAGGGTCCCTGTGCGTTCGTGCCGTGGACCACGTGGGGGGCACCACGCAGGGAGAACCGTGGCTCCTTCCTTAGGCGCTGAAGCGGGCGCGCCCTGGGGGACGGGACCCCAGCTGCTCGCGCACCCACGTCTTCTGCAGTTTTCAAAGACGTTGACTCAATTCCCTCATCCCCGAGGTCAGTGTCTCCCCGAGAACCTCGAGGAAGCCCCGAAACCAAGGGCCCTTTTCTGTCCTTCAGCCCCCGCCCGCTGATGCAAGCGCGTAGACCCCGACCGAGCCCGGGCCCCAGCAGCACAAGGCCCTCCCGGGGCCACCGCCGGACCGCTCCACGGTGGGTGAGGGGAGGGGCCGCCTTGCCGGGGTGCACGCGTGACCGAGCACGGTCCTGGACTGGGGCGGGTCCCCCCACATGCTGTTGGGACTTGGTAGCCGGCGTGCCCCATTGAACCTGCACCCCTGGGCTGTACCCTTCGGCTCTCCACGCTCTCCACATGCCCTCCAGCCCCGTCCCCACTCCCCACACATCCTCACCCCTGCCACCCCAGTGCGTCGGGTCAGAGAGCCGACAGACCCTGCAGGACACTGCACCAGAGACAAGTCCAGGGCCCAGCTCCGTGCTGAGGGACCCAGGAGAAGCCAGTGGCCCCGGGGGCCCCGGAAAGAACCGGCTCTCGGGGACACCTACTCCACCCTTTCTGAGGTTTGAACACATCGCTAGGGCTTTCCCACACGGCCGAGCAAAGGCCCACGGGCCCCCTCAGGAGAGGCACCCGCGTCAGGCCCTCCACACCCTCCTGCTCCCTGGGAGGCCACGGCCAGCCCGCGAGCGCGAACCGCAGTGGGCACGCCACCCCCTGTGTGGCTCCCTTCTCGGTATTCCTGACACGACCCCGTCAGCACCAAAAGCCCGAGATGCAACTGCCTAGCGAGAGCAGACCCCAGAGAGACAGACTGTTAGTGCTCAGAACCGCTCGCCTTTGCGCTCAGAGCACCTTCCCACATCAGGAGGCGCCCCCTCCCCTCCCTGTGTCCAGGGGGCCGGCCCAGTCCCTCGGGTTATCAGTGGGGACCTGCAGGCAGACACACAGCCACCACCTCCTCGGAGCACAGGCATCAAGGGCTGGGACCCTCACTCTCCCTGTCCTTCGGAGGGTTTGTGGCGGAGGCCTCAGGGACAGGAAAGGAAGTTCTGGATGTCCCCATTCACGGAGAAGCTGCCCCTTCCCGGCGGAAAGGCGGGAAGGTGGGAAGGGGCCTCGCACTCACCAGGCCGTGGTGCCCAGCACAGCCATGACCTCATCAAGGACGTCCTCAGCCATGATGTCGCTGTAGGTGAGCAGCATCTCGTACACCTGGCTAGCCGTGGTCTTCCGGATCTGCGCGGGACAGAACATGTCATCAGGAGGGAAAGGCCCATTAGAACCCAAGCAGAGTGACAGGATCCTGCCCAGGGACATGGGGTCAGGCACGATCCCGGGTCCGAATGGAACCTAACACCATGCAGGTTATTAGAAGTGAGGAGGTGACCTGGGATCCTGCCTCAGGAGACCCTGGCCACAGCTGGGTAGGGAACCCCGCAGGCTGTGGGGCAGGCCACCCCGTTTCCCCTGCTGCCCCACGGCAGCCTCCCCATTAGCGAGAAGCCAGGCCACCTTGCTCTGACCGAAATGCTTCGTGGAAAACCTGCCCCTCACCAGGGAAACGGCCTTACCTGCTTCCTTCCCCAGCTGCCCACTGAAAACACCGCTCAAGGGGCTGGTGGTCTCAGGCCCACCCCAGGGTAACTCATCAGCAGGCCGGGCAGCCTGAGAACCTGCATTTCTGATGGGGGTACTGCTGCAGCCAGTCCAGGCACCCCATTTGGAGAACCAATGGGTTCGGTATAAATGTCACCTGTACCTTCTAGGAAGATGGCACATTTGGATTATTTGAAGAG